CGGTAAAATCGATGCAACGTGGAATAGTACATATCCCTACCGATTTCTAAGAGTTTATATAATCAGTTGAAATTTAAAATGGAGTCGAAAAAAAAACTTATGATTAGCATATGGGAGAGTTGAATTTCGGAATTTTATAGGGACAAACTCTGCTGCCTCTGCTGGTCATGGGAAGTATTCAAGGGGAGGGGATAGTAATTTTTTTTAGAATTTGGAGCCAAGTATTTGTAATACGAATAATTGATGATAGTGCAAGAATTAGTGCAAAGTAGTACTACTGGCTGTGTATGTTCTGGTGTTGAAAATTGTGTGCTAGGCTACGTAGCACACAATATTATACAAAAGTAGAGTGACGAACATGGGTTTACTAAGCAATCCCGGTTCGGGCTAAGCAAACTGTACTGATAGGTTTCGTAATTGCAAAGTGGATATGTGTGTAAAACATCTATACATAATTTGGGTGGATGCTTTTACATTTTCGTTGGAAGAAAAAATTAAACTCGTTGCACATTGCATTATTGGCGATATCATTAATTTTGCTTGGATAAAACTGTATTTTCGTTGGACCGTTTAATTGGCACCCTTGTTGCCAATCAATAAGTTTAGAGACGTGTTTCGACCAGGTGGCACATATTTTAGGGCTGTACAGGAGTGCATGGGAAATCTGAAGGAACCACCCACATGTCACGAGTCGAAGCCTGTTTCGCTCGACCTAATGCTGCCCGTCTTTTCAGTATGTGTAGTTGTTATGTCGTTGGGAGTGGTTGGATTTGGGCAGAAAATTTTAGATTTGTCACGCATGTCAGGATTTCTGATATAATGAACATTCTAAATAAAGTTAGAGGGGCAATAAGATTGTGAATAGTTCTCGAATATGAAAATTGCAGCGCTCTACAACATCCATGGTAATGACACGCATATCGATTTGTTATTGTTTCCATTTTATGATGGAAACGTGCCTTTGAACTATTTGACCTTTTTTTCCCTCGTGTGGAAAATGTCGCATTTATGAACTCTGATTTGTACAGGATGCAGCTATGCAGACTTTCAGTTTTATTATCATTAGCCACACTCCTAGTGGGTGTGGTTCTCAATTTCAACGAAACCATGGCATTTGGTATGTCATTTTTCTTAGCTTGATGAGCGGATCTCGACCGAATAAATACAATTCATAAACCACACCCACCGATATATATCCGATATCCATCTCAAAATCTCGCCCTCCAATCTCCAAACCTCCAATATGCATGGAGGTTCAACATGTTAAATTCTCGCCCTCCAACCTCCAATATCCATCATATCCGCCGATCGGGTTATTCAGATTCATGTATGTTGTACATATTTCCCTTCACTACGTAAATACATAACTAAACTGATTAAACTTGATCAGAATAACACAATCCAATCTATACAATATAATATAATAATAATAATATTTATTCAGAAAATTCTTACAAGGCTCATGGCCCATAGAATTACGAGTTATTTATTACATACGTTTGAAAATCCAATTTATATTGAACAAGTGCAAATCCCTTGAGTGCATTTTGGGTTCGGAGGTTTCCCATAGATGCCGCATCTCCCACGCAGATAAGAACACGCACTATCTGCAGAGCACTGAAAGAGAAACAAGAATAGGAAATATAGAACGATTGTAACCTAACCGTAACACCGCTATCTATAGCCGGGGCCAAAATCCAAAACTGAGGATCACGGGCACGGCTATGTAGAATTAGAGATCGGCTGTAATCAAAGCCCGGCTAAGTTTTGTTTCCCCAAAAATTTTAGATGTTACAAAATCATCCATAAATAATTCATGTTGACGCGATTTCAGTTTTTTAATTTAGCAAAATATGCCATCAGTAACCCATTTATTTTAAATCTATATCTTTAAACGAGGTTTAGCAGGTTTTGTTTTCATAAAAAACTTCATTTTCTGTCATGAGAGTATGCAAGGTGATTCAAGGTTTGCATATTTTTGACAAGGATAACATTTTGGTACAATGTAAATAATCTGGTGATAAGCACAAATATTAAAGCACAAATGGTAATGATAAGTTGTACCCTGTGATAATGGCTTGGTAATAAAGTTTTACTATCAGGGTGACCAATTTTTACTACCTGGTAAATCATTATTATCAAATTTATTACCGTGAACTCATTACCTAGATACGTGACTTTACAGGATTATTAAGAGTGTAGTCATACGAGTGTGAATGGATTCCTTACCGTTTTGGCATAACAACCACACGTGTTTATTTGGGTATCACAATCGGGAAAATTTATCCGTGTGGCGTCCAAGCGGTCGCACGTATATTCGAGGGCGGAACAATTACCAGTTGTGGTACACTTTAAAAAAAGAGGTTTTACATTTAGGCGGCCCATTTTTTATTGCAGTACTTATGTACTCGAGACACAATGTTTCTTAGATATATTCCCCTAATACAAATTATATTTTACTTAACCGTGTCGGGTTTTCAAAATATAGATACCTAATCAAATAAACTTTTAAACGCATGTAAAGAAGAGGTGAAACCGACAATTTAAAAAGATTAGTGGGGTAAATACATTTGTGCTAAATTTAACACTGCGGGTGTCAGTTAACAGTTATCAAACACTGGTTTTAACAATTTCGTGTTCTTTGAGGTGCAAATGGAGGTTAGAATTGAATTCGGGGTTAAATTTCCTGTTAAGTCGACATATGTATAAAATTTGACCCTTACATACATGACCTGTTATGATGCTTTCACCCGGACAGGGTGATCTTCAGCGCCCTTCAACCTTTGTTTTTATATAAAATATTTATGTCCCAAATTTAAAGTCAATATGTATGTTAAACCGTTCTTGAATTATCGCACGGACAGACGCTGATAATTTTAAGGTTTTAACTGTATGTAAATTAATGATTTGAGATATTGGGCATGGGCAATGACACATTATGAAACAGTTTTATGAATATGAAATTCCCATATGTATGTATGTATGATGAAAAATGCTTGTGTAACAAAAAGTCAAGACAAAGTCGTATGTAAAACTCGGGCCACTATTTAGCCAGTGAATGTAAATGTAAGGATGATGTGGCATCAAGAAAAGAGGAGTTTTAGTCAGGGAAAAGAAGAAAGAAATTCAGACCCAATCGAGCCGAGGAGGAGGAAACTTACCTTCAAACTAACAGCCAGCTTTTAAAATATTTCTCGATATTTTTAAACAACTAAGGTCTCATGTCGATATAAGTCAATCTACGAGTAATCGCCCTATGTAAAATAAAGCTCCGTTTTGAGTGCATTTACGCCTACTTTCGAACTCGGCATAATAAGACGGAGCCACCCCCATCGCCATCATAATGTTCCTGAGGTCAAACTGAGATATCCCCCCAATGAGCAGACAGCTCACGCCCCAAAAACATTGGTCTCGTGAAACCGGATATCAAGTGCTAAGGACGACACTCCTGTGGTGACCTCAAGAACGAGAAGGACGACTACAAGGTTGACGACATACCTGGAAAAGTGTCGACTGGATATATGGGGAACGTGCCACCTCTATAGAGAAGTGCACCCCTTAAAGTTAGTTGGTTTCCAATTTTACCTATTAATTTCGCCGCTAATATTTGTTGTCCTATTGCTGAGTGGTTGGAGTCCATCTGAGTGGAGCCGATCCATATTCGACACGAGTACGCGCCGTAGTTGAGGGTCAAACGAAGGAAGGAAGTAAAATCCCAAGGGTCTAGGGATTTCCTCACTCCTGTCACCGACAGTGACAAATCTGCAAGGGCCGGAACCACCCGGACATCGCCAAAAAGTCACGGACAGTGACAATCTGAGGGCCGGAACCACCCGGACAATCGCCACAAGGTTGACGACAGACCGCTAACGTGTCGACCGAATAACAGGGGTCGGTGCAACCTCTACAGCAGAAAGACTCCGGAGAGTCGATCTGCAATTGTACCCTACCAGGCAAGACGTTGTTCCATGCCAATTCATTCGTAATTAATCTCATTCTAAAAGACGAAATCGACGTTATTGATTACTTTTGAGGTACAATGATGTCACAATCACTAAATAATGGAACAAGGAGGAGCACTCGCGACAAGTCGCAAAAGTCCAATCCGACCGCAGCAAACGAGGATGATGTCGTCGACGTCAAGTCAGCATCATCCAGCATCAAGAGTTCCGTCCGGAAGATGGAAATTGAATGCAAGAAAGACCGTGCTCTACAAGACATCGGAGACCAGCATCGTCAGGCCAGAAAAGAGCATGCTGAAGCAGAGATTCAAGTTACGAGTCTGAATAAAGAAATGGAAAGCTTAAAAGTCCAAGTACAAGAGCTACAAGATTCATCCGCCGTGGACCGCGACGTCAAGATTGCTGAGCTACAAAAACAGCAACTCGACACCAATTCCAAAATAAGAGCAGCCGAAAAAGAAGTCGCATTAAAGAAATTGGATCTCGACATCGCTACTGAAGCACACGAATCCATGAAACAAATTATCATCAAAGGGGCAGTGTATGAAAAGCGAAAGCCGATCTTGAAGAAGAAAGTGAGAGGAAGCGCTCTATTGAGGATCTTGCCTTAATCGACAAGGAAAAAGCAACCAAGAAATGGGCAGCAAATGTGGATGCAGTTTTTTACTCTGAAAACTCCACGTCAGAATCGGAAGAAGAATTGTCCGATGATGACACTCCACCGTATCAACCCCACAGATCAGCAACAATGAAACCCCAATCCACGTCCCAGAAAATACTCGCCAGACAAATACAAGGAAGAGATTTGCCCCCATTTTCCGGGAAAATTGAAGAGTGGCCAGCTTTCATCCTCGCCTTTGAAGTTCAACAACAAACTGCCAGTTCACGGAGGGAGAAAACTTGATCCGACTGCAACGATCACTGAAGGGAGAAGCATTGGAACTCGTTCAGTGCCTACTTGTCGACCCCAGAGGAGTCAGAATCGCCATCGACAAACTACGGAAGAGATTCGGGCGCCCAGGTATCATTATCAAGACAATGATGCAAAAGCTACAACAAATTCCGAATGTCAAGACTGACAACTACGAATCATGGGTGAAGTTCGGAACCGGTGTGGACAACTTGGTCTCCACCATCAAATCTTTGGGTGCAAAACAGCAACTACCAAATCCTTCACTTGTGGACGAACTTGTGAAGAAATTGCCTGCTCAAAAAGCTATGGAATGGGAAGAATTCAAATTGAGGAAGAAACTGAAATTTCCCTCATTGTCACATCTTGCCAAATGGTTACAGCCAACGGTGGAAGCAGCCTACGCACTGTGCCCACTCCCCGGAACCTCCACAGAGAAATTGTCGACTGAAAAGCCAAATCACGACAACCGACGGCAGCCAGCCAACCAGAGAGGAGTCCGAAAGAATGACCGAGTCATGGTCACGACAGAGAAGAATGAAGCCAGACAGGCACAATCAAATCAAAGAGGGACTGAGCGGAAATGCCATTTCTGCAACGGGTCACACGGGCAGCGACACTCCCAAATTTAAGGAAGCCGATGTGAACACACGCTGGGCCATGGTCAAGGAGAAGGGATGTTGCATAGGGTGTCTCAACAGGGGTCATCGTATGCACGAATGCCGAAGCAAACGAGTCTGCGGGATAGAAGGATGCCAGCAAACTCACTGCCAATTACTCCACAACAGAAACGCCAGAAATTCAGAAGAATCATCCCACATTACGCAACAGCAAAGAAACCAGTCATCTGAACAGGAAGTTGCTCTCAGCGCAGTCAGCGGACGGAGTAACTGCAACATCAATTATAACGTGATTCCAATTTACGCCAAGCGAAGAGATGGACAATTGTTGCCGATGTACATGGTGCTAGATGGATATGCATCGCTCACATCAGCAGATGACTCAATTCGACAGCAATTAAATGTGGATGGGAGGAGACGACCTCTCACGGTGCAAGGATTTCAATCCACCACCACCACGCCAAACTCGTATGAAGTGGATATCGAAATCGTGTCAAGATTAGATGGAAAATCTTACACGTTACGCAATGTGAGAACAGTCCCCAAGTTGGATCTGCCAAGCCAGTCATTAACAAAGGAAACCCTGAAACGATTCTCGCACATTGAAGGAACCCCTATCCTGACTTATCAAAATGTTGTCCCAACTATTCTCGTTGGAATGGACAATTTCGAGTTGCATCTACCTGAAGAAATGAAGATTGGAAGATTTGGAGAGCCAGCAGCAATTCGCACAGCAATGGGATGGGCATTAGTGGGGCCGACCGCCTCACCCCCAAAGAAATTGCATCATGCATTTCACATCAACGACCAACAAGACGACCCACTACATCAATTAGTAAAGCAGTTCTTCACTACTGAATATGTAGGTGTCAAGCCAAATCTGGAGAAGCCAAGGTCAAGAGATGACATCAAAGCCCAAGTCATTATGGACCAGACAATACGACGAGTTTCGCACGGATGGGAGAGCGGACTGCTCTGGAGATATGAAGATGTGAAACTTCCCTTCAACAAGAATTACGCGTTTCAACGCCTGAAGTCCATGGAGAAGAAAATGGACCAAGACCCAGAATTTGCACGCCAGTATGTGGAGAGAATTCAGGAATACCAAGATAAAGGATTCGCCAAAATCCTGCCGCCAGAAAAAGCCGCAATCGAAACGAGCCGCACTTTCTACCTGCCGCATTTCATGGCCTACAACGGCAAGAAACCCAAGAAGTACCGCTTCGTTTTCGACGCCGCCGCCAAAGTATACGGGAAAAGCCTCAATGATCACCTCCTGCAAGGACCAGACAAATTGGTATCCTTACCCGGTGCTCTGTTCAAGTTTCGCCAAAGGAGAATTGCGGTCACAGGGGACATTAAAGACATGTTCCACAGAATCAAAATCCGAGAGGAAGACGCTTCTGCTCAACGCTTCCTCTGGAGAGGAATGGATCGCGACAGAGATCCCGACGTGATGGAGATGGGCGTCCTGATTTTCGGAGCGTCATGCTCACCAGCCTGCGCCCAAGAAGCCAAAAATAAGAATGCCGAGCAATTCAAAGAAGAATTCCCCGACGCCTACAAAGCAATAGTTCATCGCCACTACATGGACGATTTATTGGATAGCTACGACACGGAAGCCCAAGCAATTCAAATGCAAAAGGACATCTTTGAGGTCCACCGCCGAGGGTCATTCCATATCTGCAATTGGTTATCAAATAGCCCAGAAGTCATGAAGGCCATCCCTGCAGAACTTCAGTCAAAGACAAGTCAGAGTCTCGACATCAATAAGGAGGACCAGATTGAGAGAGTTTTAGGACTCTTTTGGATGCCGGAGGAGGATAACTTCACATTCTGCTTGAAGTACCTCAAAGTCAGTGAAGACGTCATGAAAGGAAGACGCATTCCCACCAAGAGAGAAGTACTTTCACTCGTTATGTCGGTATTCGACCCACTCGGATTCTTATCCACATTGACAATCAAAGCTAAGATGATTTTGCAAAGAACATGGATATCAGAGATAGGATGGGATGACGAGATTCCCTCGTCTACTCATCAAGCGTGGAAACTGTGGCTGACATTATTGGAAAGTATCACAGAGTTCAAGGTACCGAGATGTTACAGCCCTACTTTCTCTCGGTCGACAGACAACCAGCTACACATCTTCGGAGACGGAAGCGAAGAGGCGTTTGGAGTTGTAGCTTACTTTCGGATCGCACACGGTAGCCAAGTAACTACAGCCCTGGTCATGGCGAAAGCAAATGTCGCCCCAATCAAACACCTCACAATCCCTCGTATGGAATTGCAAGCCGCCGTTATAGCTTAACGCCTAACCATTTTTTGATTAGCAGGTCGAGCAACTTGCAGCCTATTGGGTCCTTCGACCGTCACGACTTGTTTGGAAGAAAGCAATGGAGATGTGTCCAAGTGATGGCAGATCATTTTTGGAAGAAGTGGACAAAAGAGTATCGACCCACGCTACTCCGACGCCATAAGTGGTGCCAGACCACCAAGCCGATCAAAGTTGGAGACGTCATTCTTGAAGTGAACGACAATTTACCCCGAAATACCTGGCCAATGGGAAGAGTGATCAAGCTGTATCCAGGAAAAGATGACGTAATCCGGGTAGTAGACATTAAATTAGCAAATGGTAATTTATATCGAAGGCCTGTTGCTAAATTGTGCATTTTAGATGTTGACGAAGAGAAGACGGCGACTACGCAAAGTAGTACAAATGTAAACAATTATACGGATGGGAGAATGTTGTCGCCGTGAATAATTTTACTTATTTGAATAACGATATAATTTTTAGCTGATAATTTTAAGGTTTTAACTGTATGTAAATTAATGATTTGAGATATTGGGCATGGGCAATGACACATTATGAAACAGTTTTATGAATATGAAATTCCCATATGTATGTATGTATGATGAAAAATGCTTGTGTAACAAAAAGTCAAGACAAAGTCGTATGTAAAACTCGGGCCACTATTTAGCCAGTGAATGTAAAATAAAGCTCCGTTTTGAGTTTGTAAGCCCAATTCAAGTAGTTTTCGCGTATCATTTCGCACGAGTGCATTTACGCCTACTTTCGAACTCGGCATAATAAGACGGAGCCACCCCCATCGCCATCATAATGTTCCTGAGGTCAAACTGAGATATCCCCCCAATGAGCAGACAGCTCACGCCCCAAAAACAAAAGTGGTTATATTTAGCCCTTAATATTTAAATATGGTGTCAACATTAAAAGAAGAGGCCTGCCCAGCATAAGCTTCTCATCGAAAATACGCCATAAAATTATATGTAACTGATTTTTGACGATTAAAAAGTATTATGTAAGTATATTCAATTGGACGTACGAGACACTGGTTTCACCCCTTGATTACATGCGTTTGTAACGGTTTATTTATATAATTTTCTACCTAAAATTATGCTTAAAAGAGTGAAACCAATCACCGCAGTGCCTCCCGATTGCCGTCTACAGCTGGAGGTGTGGTCTAGTGTTGGATTCAGTGTGCGGATTGCTGGGCAGGGTCGGCCGAGTGTGTTCGGCATCGTCTCGCGGCTGGGGAAGACGTACATTTTTGCGAATGTTGGGATAAGGTATGCTTAAAAAATGTATTGATAAAACCGTGATGTAGTAACCACCGGGCTTAACCTGAACTCTCTATTTTCGAAACGATACGACTTAACTGGACAAAATTAAGACATTCTTTTTAAAAATCTCAAGAAACTATTCATCCGCTTTTCTTCTAAGTGTGAGAAATTTGAAATTGGTCCGATTAAAATGAGAGATGTGCACCTCACAAATTTCCATTATAAGATACATAAATCTATTTTCTACAGTGTACTGGTAGCGATGATTGTACCTCCCTTGAGTACACCTGCGACCGTGCGAGACCCCAACTTTTGGGTTTCGCCGAATGCAACACCACAATCAGCACGTGCGGGTGCAGCTACCAAGAGGTAAGGATACCAATATCCTTACCAATATCAATACAACCAACGTTTCTTCAGGCAGTTGGTGCGATGGTCAGAATCTGTCAGAATATTTTAGGTCAAAGTTCAAAAACGGGCGATTTTTACCAGGCGGAGGAAGCAAACTCAGCTTCTATTCTTTTCCCGTGCTAAAAATTCCACATTTTTCAACTTCAACCTAAATATTTTGCCAAATTCTGACCATCGCACAAACTGCCTGAAGAAACGTTGGTTGTATTAACATGGAGCACATAATTTCGAAATATCAACCAAATCGGAGGGTTACACTTCACACCATCGCATTTTAAGCTAGTGTTAACAGTCATAAATTTAATTGATATGAAATTTCCAAAAGAAACAATCTCCTAATGAGCAGGTTTCGCAGGAAAATTTATCTCACAAGGGGAGAAAATGTGCCCACAAGTTGCGTACGAACTTACTGTACTGAGGTTTTTCCTCTTGGTAAATATGCAAATTTCTCTACAAAACCTGCGCATTGGGAGATCGGATTTATGCAAATTTCATATTAATTTAATTATTCATCGATTGACACTAAATTGGTCAAAACGGACAGCACACGGTTGGAAACCTCCATTGTTTTTTAGATTATTAACACAACTAGCATTTTAATACACACCGCGTTCTTTATTGCTTTTCAGTGTTACATGAATTCCAACTGCGCAGCTTATCAGGGGAAATGCGGCATTTATGGAAATTTACCGAACGCAAACTGCGTTGATGGAGTTTGCAGTTGTACAGACTAATCCTGCAGGAATTTAAAAAAATAATATTCAATTGTTCTACTTGGATAATCCTTTCAATAACTTAACGTAATTTCTTTAATTGGATGAACTTGAGAAGAATAAATACTTGTGACATATGTATTTGTTGAGGGGTGACTTATCCGATTATCCACATCACATTTTCTGGAAAATGCATATATTATTTACACGATTACACAGATTGTCTGCAATTAGTGTGGAACAAATTTCCCAAGGGCAGACTGATCCCGCTTAATTGACTGGACACTTATTCACTGGCGAAACTATGTTTTGCGACCCTTAGACAAACAGAACTGGGGTTTTTCCAGGTTGACAGAAACACAACGCAATAATTGGAAAATATTCGTCGTGCCACGTTCTGCAAAATTTATCAAATATTACACAATGCAAAATAAGTTTTACGCATTTGTTGCCAGTTCGTACTTTAATCAACCCTTCAGTATATTTTACATAGATTCATTAAGTGCGAATAATCTGTGACCTTCGGACCATATTGCCTTCTGAGGTGTTTCGCATTTCTAAGCAGTATCACAACGTCTATCAGCTGAAGGATTCAATTTTTTAAACTATGACGAAAATGGGGAAACAGATACTCCAATAACCCTTGGACTTCTTGTTCCACCAAATTGACGAATTAATTTCAAAACATTGAAGAGCTACAAAGTATTATGTATTTTACACAAGTTGACTTTATGCAATAAATATTATTCAATAATAATTGATTAATTACATAAATATTAAACTTTGTTAATTTGTGATTTTGCAGTCTTTAAATATATTTGTAGAATAGGTCTAGATTTTAAAAATTCATGTTCTGCTATTGTATGTAATATTGGAAATTAGCCCAACTTGGTAAATATGATCAGAAATCGATTATGGATAACAAAATTAACCAAAAAATTATGTATTCGACGTATTTGCCGCATGTGTGTAACAAATTCTCTGAAAACTAATAAATTTTAAAATTATTTTAATTCACAAAGCGGCCCACGGCGAGGCAAATGGTCCCAAACGCACATACTTTGCTGTTCTGTTTACCGAAAATTATAAATCATGAGATGAAAATTGATTTAGCACATTATTTTAATACACGATGATAACCGCTTGTTTTCTCCTTTTAAGCAAGGCTCACCTAAGTTTTTTTTAAAGAATTGGTTTATTTTTTGTTTTTAAGTCTCTTTAAGATGTCATCAATTATAGATACCAAATTAAATCTCCACTAGTGTGGAAGCCCGTCAATCGACGTGCAAAATAGGCCCGTGGATAAGCCCGTTACCCCAACATTAGTGAAGTTAGCCTCTCCTGTTCTCTCTGCAGAGTGGAGAGAGAAAAGGAGAGGCCAACTTCTCAACTAAGCCACCGACCCAGTCAGCAGCGATACACTCGCCTGCTTTATATAGTTTAGATAAGCCCAGAGGTGCATACATGTACATAGTACATACATATATACATATAGTATTTACATGCGTAGATATTTACAGTGTAGGGCTTTTATATGTTTCTTTTCTGCTGGTTGCTAATAGAAACGTGGATTTTTATAAGTAATGACGAACCATTATAATTAACGTAACTGGCTGCATATGCAACCAAGAAAAGTCTCTCATTTCTTATCCGATTTCGCTCGGGTTGGTTTCAAATGACGCGTTATAGATTTCCGCACATTTAATATCGGGGTCGACACTACCATTGCTTGGCAAAAGTGAATTTGCCAGTTATTTGAAAGTTTAAAATCGATTTTTAATGGGTTAAAATAAGATTGCCATGTCTCTAGACCTGACGGGCATCATCTACCCAGCAAGGTCTGCACCATTGTCTTTTACACCATTTTGATACGATTAGCCGTTTTGTCACAAACTTGAGTGGAACTTTGGGAGGGGGGGTCTGTTTGCATTCTTAGGCTTCGCCGTAACCATGCACTTTTTCATGTGGTCATGGTTACTATGCCTCACCTAAGAAAAAATGCAAAATCTTGACCTGGTCATTCTAATTCCGAGATTAAATGTGCACTCAAAAATGTGAAATTTGTTGAATTACAACTAGTGATAGTTGCGCAACAAGAAAATAAGGCCCTTTGAGGAATTGATATGCTACTTTTATTTATATTAAATGCCGAAAATCAATTTCCATCAAAATTTTGTTTTTCTCGAGATTAATTGATTAATATAAATAAAAGTAGCATATCAATTCCTTAAAGGGCCTTATTTTCTTGTTGCGCAACTATCACTAGTTGTAATTCAACAAATTCCACATTTTTGAGTGCACATTTAATCTCGGTATAAGAATGACAAGGTAAAAAACCTGTGCAAAAAATTATGCATGTTGTCAACATACGGAGAAATATTGAGCGAGAGACTGTATTGGCTGATAGAGAGGCCAGAGCAAACTATAATGCCCCTTTAATTCATTCCGTGAAAATGAACTTTCCAACAATCCATACTCCACATTGGCTAGTGACCACACTTACGCCATCTTTCCTACTATTATCTAATTAAATGAACTACATACACAATTTCGTTCAACCTATTTTTGCTCTGAATTTCCCACAGGTCCGGGATTTTGTAAAAGACCGGATCCACCTAAATCTTAATCCTGGGATGAACAAATTCTGGGGAGAGCTGTTGGTCCTCCTTGTCGGAGGCGAATGTTCTACTGAAATCCTTCAAGAGTGCTCAAATGTCGTGGACTCGAACTGGGAGCTGCTGCGACTGGCTGTGGCTGGCGGGGATTTATATATCGTTAGAAAGCGGCAGATACAGCTTTACTTTGACCTTTGTAAGGTTGTCACCAGGACGCATGAATTCCCTAAAGGATACCATCTCAGAAGGGCGGTGGTTGGATTGATAAGTGTGATGGGAGACAGGACGGACGTTTCTGTGTTCCAACGCATTCTGGATGGGTTGTTGGAGTATTCCAAACAGCAAGGGGTGTAAAATTTCAGAAATTTTTAATGTAAACAGATTTTGGTGGATGTAATGTTACCGATTGAGCAATAAATTTTACTGCATCAAGATGCAA